GGGAAAGAGAGAGAAAGAAAAGAGGGAAACCGAGAATACAGCCCCAGAGTGGAATGGCCACACTGCAATCCTTCTTTCTCCTCTCAGGATTTTGGTCACACACATACACACACCCGGCATGTTTTTCAAGCTGCCAGTTGGGGGAGTCAAACCACAGCCATGAGCAATCTAGCTGCCTTAACCACCGTGGCACTGGCTGCTTGGAATCTTTCATTTAATATTTTCAGGCTGCTGTTGTCTGTGTGTTATGGGAGCCATGGGAATTAAAACCATAGATAAAGGTGGGACTACTGTATTTTTCCTTAAGTTCATTTATTTTATCTAAGTAAGTCATTATTGTAAATAGAAAACTATCATCATTTGTCACAAACAAAATAGAATGTATTATGAAATAAAGAGCTGCTAAATAAAACAATAATGAATAAAAGCAATAATGAAGGTCATTGATTTATAAAAAATGTCTGAAAATAAATTCCCCAATGAGAAAAATGGTATTGTTTATGATCAGTCAGGAATAAAACTAGTTCAGGGTACAATAAAATTGAGAGTTTATGGCAATAAGACATGGTTAAATTGTGATGTTGTCCAGCACTCAAAATACTAACTTGCAATTATATGTGGTTAGGCTAACGTATCATTAATCAAATTGTAATTTAAATGTGTAATAGAGGTCAATGGCTTTTGGCCCTTGGAGCAGAGAAGTATGTATGTGAGGCAGGGATCTGGGTCAGTGTCCCCAGTCACGCTGGCTACACACCTCTGCCCTCCCTCTCCCTCACCCTAGGAGAACCAGAAAATGGCTCCCAAACTCTCTCCCACATTGTGAGGCCTTCAGCAAATGCCTCAACAGCCCAAGGACAAAACAGAACCTCTTATCACTGAACACTGGCATCTCCTTGTACCAGCTTGGCTGTCTTCCCACGTGTATGGCTACTCCTAGAACACCAGGGAGAAAAAAATACCCTATCTTCCTCATGACCTAAGGGACGCAAAGAGCCTGGATAAATATTCCTGTTTTTTTCCTCCTAAGACTATCACTCCTGAAATGTGAGGGTCATGTGTGTTCTCTTCTCGGACACAGCACAATTTATTAGGTTTTAATTAGAGTTTGGTTGGAATTAGGGTCAAGAATTAGGGTAAGATTTGAATTAGGGTCAGGGGACTTGTAAAGGTTAAGGTTGATTAATTTGCAGCTGCAGTTACTCTAATGTGGTTATACGTTGCAGCACCTGGAAAGCATGATGGTTCAAGACAGTCACTAGTTTCTTATTGCCTGACTTTGAATACCAGTTCTACTTCTCCTGTCTAAGTGAAGACAAACTACAGGGCGTCGTTAAAAGACAATTTTTTTAAAGAAAAAAGGGGAAAGTGTGAGTCTCAGCTGTATATTAAAGATTTGGCATGGTAGTTAAGGCACTGGATCCCACATGATGGACTGCACAGAGGAGAATGGAATAGAGGACTTGTAGAATGGCCATCCCCTGGAGGATGATTTATCAGTCTCCCTCTCTCTCTGTCTCTGTCCTCAGAGCATACACACTCTATTACAAAAAGACTTAAAAAAACAAAAAAAACTGCAACTTATTGTTATAAGGGAATAAGGCACATGTCACAACCCATTCAAAGGAGACTCCAGGGAACCAGCAGTTAGCGTAATGGCTATGTCGCTGGACTCCCATGTAGTCGACTGCGGTTCGCGTCCCGGACCCGGTGGCTTAAAACTCATGCCGTGTGCGTGTCCAAGATCCCGAGAGGAGAATGGAGGAGAAGGGATTGCGGCGTGACCATCCCCCCAGGGGGTGATTTCTTGCTTTCT